TTTTCTGCTTTTGGACTTTCAAATAAATCTATTTAATTTAATTTAAATCCATTTAAATCCATTTAGATTAAAATTCAAGAAAGTCTGTCAGTTGCTGCAAATAAAGCTCCATTAAAAGACTTCTTTGACGGATTCAAAATCTGGAGTGTATCTACGGTGTACCTACACAACACACATAGTTATTATTCATCTATTTTTGATTTATTTGTTTGTTTAGCATTTAATATAGACTTACTCACTTATTTATTTATTTATTTATTTATTTATTTATTTATTTATTTATTTATTTATTATTTGTGGGCCCATTTTATACGGAAAAGCATTTGTGTGCGCGTTTGGGTGTATGTACACACGACGCGAAGGTATGTGGATTTGTACTTATAAGAGTATATTTAAAAAGAAATATATCTTTTCTGTTTATATATTTACTCCTATTTATCCGAAGATTATATTTATTTGAACATTTAAATATTTTAACCTTCACATATTTATGCATGCAGGCATGTGTGTAACCTGGTGTATAGACAGCCGGGCGTACACCTCTGTGCCATTTGCGGTGTACATACACTCCATGTATATGAACGCATGCAGATTATCTGTGGAAACGAAATAAATACAAATAGAACATGCAGAAACAAAAGCAAGATGTTCTCGAGTTATTTATTTGAAAGTAAAAAGTCATTTAATCTAATTTTCGTTTTTTGTTTGGGAAGAAACTTTCGGGAAAAGCGCTCGACGAAAGCTGCAGATACACCCGAAGGCGTTTACAGGAGCTGTCTGTACACCGCAGCGCTCTAAAGGGGGCAGCAGAAAAAATAATATAAAAAGCAATTCAGTATTCAAAATGTTTTATTTTTTGTGCTTTTAATGCTAGTTATGCCATTCTTTTCCTTTTATTTCCGCAGAAATGCAAATGGAAGACTTTTAGATGCAGAAAGAGGCTTTTAAAGTGTCTCTTCCGGTGTACGTACAGCTGAGAAATTGAAAAGCAATCCTCGAAAGTGCATGCATGCAACACTATTCTGTTCCCGTCTAAACAAATTAAATAAATGCGAAATAATACTCTAAAATGCGCCATTTGAAATATATAAAATACACTTCTTCTCAATTGTCAGACCAACAGGTCGGAGTCTGAAGTGTACGTACACCCGAGGTGTACATACACCCGAAGCTGCAATGTGCAGAGCGTTTTATCTGTAGGAGTAAATTCGAATCTCTTTCTGCAGAACTTTAATTAAAACTTTAATTAAAACGTTTTATCTTTTGAAATTTAGTTTTAAACTTCAAGACAAACTGTCCAAAAGACGCCATTTGCATTTAATTTGCGTCTCCAGCTTTGTTTCCGCGTGCAAAAACTCCCGCAGGAAAAGGCGAGGGTTTAGGGTTTAGGGTTTAGGGTTTGCTGGGGTTTGCAAACAAAGGCAAACCACCTGAGACTTTAACTCCCATTTCCATGCAGCAGCAACACCTCCAGTTTGAATTAAATGCCAAAACGGACTTAATTGATTTAATTAATTTAATTAATTAAATTAATTTGATTTAATTAATTTAATTGTTTTGTTTGTTTTGTTTCTTCAAGGAAAGAGAGAAGTGTGTACACCCCGTGTCTGGGTGTGCAGCAGCAAAGGCAGCAGCGGGAAACTGCAACTATGAAGCAGCAGCAGCAGCAGCAGCAGCAGCAGCAATTGGAAGCAAACTGGAAAGAATAAAAGCAATTAATTAAGCAGCAGCAAAAAGACAGATTATAATCAGCAGCAGCAGCAGCAGCAGCAGGGTTTGCTGCTGCGGGGAGTTTGCTGCTGCTGCGCTGCTGCTGGTTCGTTGCGGAGTTTTGAAACGGGGCAGCAGCAGGGAACTAAACAGCGAACTAGAAGCAGGAAATGTCTCGCAGCAGCAGCAGACAGCAGCAGCAGCAGCAGCAGCAGCAGCAAAGCGCTGCTGCTGCTTGTGGCAGCAGCAGGTTGTTGGGTGGGTGTGTGGGGCCCCGGGGGGGAAGTGGAAGACAAAGAAGAAAGTGGGAAGAAAGAGACAAGAGCGAAGCAGCAGCAGCAGCAGCAGCGGGAGCAGCTGCTGCTGTTGCTGCAGCAGCTGCTGCTGCGCAACTGCTGCTGCTGCTGCTGCTGCTGCTGCACACAGACGTGAGGCGGGAAGCGGCGGGGAAGTGGGGGAGGTGGGGGGGTGTTTGGAGTGGGGGTTTGGGGGAGACATGAAGGAAGTGCACTTAGTTGGGGCGAAGGGTTTGCGGGGGTTTGTAAACCGCTTTTTAGGGTTTGGGGTTTGGGGCGGTGGAAAGCAGCGGCGGCGGGCGGCGGACTGGCTGTGCGCGCGGGGCGGGTTGGGGTTTGGGTGTAGAGTCGGGCTGCGGAATTTGGTGGGATTGAGCGCGTGGGAAGTTTGAAAAGAAAGAAAAGAAGAAATTGGAGTTGAAAAGGGGAAAAAAGAACTAAAGAAAAGGAAGATCGGGGGGGCAGCAGCAGGTGCAGCAGCGGCGAGTGCTGCTGCTGCCGCGCAGCAGCAGAAAGACTGCGGCCTCCCCTCAGGAGAGCTGCTGCGGGGGGAATGCGGGAGTGTTTGGAGGTGCTTTGGAGACTTTGGCGAACAATTAGAAATGAAAGTTTGAGTTTTGCGGATCGCAGCTGCGTTCGTCGGTTTCGGGTTTGCAAATTGGGGTGTACGTACAGCGGGAGGGCGTGCGAGGCAGCGGCTGCGTGCGTGGGCGATTCGGGGTTTTTTCGCGGTGGATTTTTGCGGTTTTCGGCTTAAAAAGGAGCGAAAGGGCGTTTTAATTGGGTTTGCGTGGGAGATCGGGAGAATGGCGGAGGCTCCGGCGGTGGGCATCGACTTGGGCACCACGTACTCGTGCGTGGGCGTGTGGAAGAACGACGGGGTGGAAATCATCGCCAACGACCAGGGCAACCGCACCACCCCTTCTTACGTGGCTTTCACTGACACGGAACGTTTAGTTGGAGATGCAGCGAAGAATCAAGTGGCTCGAAACCCCGAGAATACGGTCTTCGACGCGAAACGGCTCATCGGCCGCAAGTTCGACGACCCCGCAGTCCAGGCCGACATGAAACACTGGCCGTTTACGGTGAAGTCCGGGCCCGCTGGAAAGCCTTTAATAGAAGTCAGTTATCAGGGAAGCAAAAAGACTTTTCACCCCGAGGAGATCTCCGCGATGGTGTTGATGAAAATGAAGGAAATCGCAGAAGCTTTCATCGGAAAAGAAGTCAAAGAGGCTGTCATTACAGTGCCCGCTTACTTCAACGACAGCCAAAGACAAGCCACTAAAGACGCGGGAACTATTGCGGGGTTAAATGTCTTGAGAATAATAAATGAACCAACAGCAGCAGCAATAGCTTACGGACTTGACAAAAAAGGACATGGAGAAATGAATGTTCTTATTTTCGACATGGGGGGCGGGACTTTTGATGTTTCTTTGTTGACAATTGAAGACGGGATTTTCGAAGTTAAAGCAACTGCAGGAGACACGCATTTGGGAGGAGAAGACTTCGATAATAGACTTGTTGATTTTTGTGTTCAAGACTTCAAAAGAAAAAACAGAAGCAAAGACTGCAGCAGCAACAGCAGAGCTTTGCGGCGGCTGCGGACTCAGTGCGAAAGAGCGAAGAGGACTCTCAGCAGCAGCACTCAGGCCACTATTGAAATAGATTCTCTTTTTGAAGGAATTGATTATTCTGTTTCCCTTTCAAGAGCTCGTTTTGAAGAACTTTGCATGGACTATTTCCGGAATAGTTTAGTGCCAGTTGAGAAGGTTTTAAAAGACAGTGGGATCGACAAAAGGAGCGTTCATGAAGTGGTCTTGGTCGGAGGAAGTACCCGAATTCCGAAAATCCAACAACTCATTCAGGAGTTCTTCAACGGAAAAGAACCCTGCAGATCCATAAATCCAGACGAAGCTGTTGCTTACGGAGCTGCAGTTCAAGCAGCAATTTTAAAAGGAGTTAACAGCAGCCAAGTCCAGGACTTGTTGCTTTTAGATGTTGCTCCTTTATCACTAGGTTTGGAGACTGCTGGCGGAGTTATGACAAAGTTAATTGAAAGAAATACTACTATTCCCACGAAAAAATCCCAAGTTTTCACGACTTATGCGGACAACCAGCCCGGAGTTTTGATTCAAGTTTTTGAAGGAGAAAGAGCCATGACAAAAGATAATAACTTGTTAGGAAAGTTCCATCTTGATGGCATTCCGCCAGCTCCAAGAGGAGTTCCGCAGATTGAAGTTACTTTTGACATTGACGCAAATGGAATTATGAATGTAACTGCCACTGAGAAGAATACTGGAAAGTCCAATCAAATTACAATCACTAATGATAAAGGAAGACTGAGTCAGGGAGAGATCGACAGAATGGTGGCGGAGGCGGAGAAGTACAAAGCTGAAGATGAAGCTAATAGGCAAAGAGTTGAAGCAAAGAATGGACTTGAGAATTATTGCTATTCCATGAGAGGAACTTTGGAAGATGAAAAAGTCAAAGACAAGATCTCAGCAGCAGACAGAGAAGCTGCTGCTGCAGCAATTCAAAAGGCGCTCGATTGGCTCGATAAGAACCAACTCGCGGAAAAGGAAGAGTTCGAGGCCAAACAGAAAGAAGTCGAGAGTGTATGTACACCTATTGTCACCAAAATGTACCAAGCAGCAGCAGCAGCCGGCGGGGGGGCCCCCGGGGGGGCCCCCGACATGGGCATGGGCGCGGGGGGGGGGGCCCCCGGGGGCCCCCCCGGGGGGGAAGGCG